GTTGCTGTGTGAAACAACAGGGGGAACTGACCAAGTGACTAAAGAAACGGCCTATGTACAAATGCACAGCGTGACCACATTAAAAATACAGAAAATATTTTCTCTCTCTAATTTCTTTTGGTTACGGTTATTTGAGAGGTTAGCAATAACAATAGCAGGTGGGAACATTTTCAGGCAGCACTGTGATTTAAGTTGATGGTGCCCCTTTAAATTCAATTGGGGTTCTATAGAAATTACTCTAGAGGCCTTAATTTCTATAGAATTTTCCATAAGGAGTGCATTAAGCTAATGCTTAGCCCCAAAGCAGTGGAGAAATCTCAGATCTGGGCACCGTAATGGGTATGTCTATATAACCCTTGGGTTATGTAACATTTCCATTGTCACCCTGCCCTCAACCAACAAGCATCATGCCTGTGAATGTATTTCCATCCTCAGCTGGAAAAGTCCTCTGGGGTCATCTCTAGTCCATCTTCCTGCCAGACAAAGATTTGCACTATACACTAATCTTTGAAATGTTTTATGTACTGTCCATCTAATAGACTGATGCATAAGAGCAACGGGCAGGGCTTCCTTGGGCCATCTAAGGTAGCCAAACACATGATCTCAAGGAGGGCTCATCCGTGCGGTTTCCCTGCAGAAAGGGACTGTGGCAGTTGATTGTTACTAGTATAATAACAAGGATAATTTCTTACATTTGTATGGTGTAGCTCCTGCTTATGCATGCCAAAGGAGTCACAAATTTTACCTAGTGTGGGCAAAAGACACCCCCAGTTACGGAGTCAGTGGAGTCACACGAGGGATTAATTCAGCTTTCTCTCTCTAGAGGAGAATTGTCAGGTACCAGTGAAATGCAGCCACCTCTTGGGTGGCACAGGTAAGCTGTTCTACCGCTTGCAGCAACAATACCTGATGGGAAGTGAAGATGAGTCTCATATCCAACTGAAACAATGTGAGAACATAGGAAAACATATGTACTCAAATTTGAATTTGGCCAGGACACAACAATTAACCGTCCCAACGCTTATGAAAAGAACCATGGATCTTTGATGACTACAACCAGTGGATGGAATATCAGGGGGTAGCCGTGTTAGTCTGTATCTACGGAAACAACAAGGAGTCTGGTGGCACCTTAAAGACTAACCTTAGTCTTTAAGGTGCCACCAGACTCCTTGTTGTTTCCGTTTGGATGGAATATGTTGTCCTAAAGATGGCACAACCCCTTAATGCCACACTGGCACACTGACTCAGGGAAACTAGCACCAACGTAATGAGTCACCAACATCAGACACTGAAGCGATTCGGATGGATGAGTAACCTCCGATTGAAGAGCTTGAGAAAAACTGGTGGTAGCAGCCTTCTAATGAGAGTGCAGTCTGCTAAAATTTTTGAATAATACCATTCACCTTTGTTAATTAATGCAGTTTAGTCTTAGATCTTCCCAACTACCCTCACTTATACCTGTCCCCTTCCTACTCTCTAGTGCACATGCGCACGCATTTGAAGGGAACGATCTGCCTCAGGAACTTTTGTGACCTAATATAGCCCTGTCTGGCTTTATTTTTATTTTGGGCTTTGCTTTTCCATGAACCTTACATGAGAGTTTTAAAAAGTAAAATTTGGCTACTGTGTCAGTGTTTTGTCACTGTCACTTCTACTACTTAATGCTGACTAACTTTTTGTACATATTTTAGCTAGTTTGGGGGCCCTTCCAGATTATTGGGATGGGGGCAAACTTTCTCTTTGCCCCCCTGTAGCTCCAGGCCCCCTTGCCCCCGAAAAGCCCCACAATGCCCCTATGCATTGTACCATTCGACACATGCACGCACGCACACACAATGAAGTCATCCTGGGAGACCGGCCAGCTTGGCAGCGCAGACTGACCGTTTTCCCTGTGTTGGAAGGAAGGCGAAAACTCTTTGGCAGTGATCCTGGCAATCCGAGCTTCCTCTTGAGCTTTCTGCGCTGCTGTCACAGCCGCGTCTGCTTTAGCCCTCGAGTGGGAAGTCCTGCAAGTGAATGAGAGACAAAGACTAATTAGGTATCTCAGTTATTCAAGTGGGAAAGAGGCATCATTCAAAGAGCTGCAGCAGTAGCAATGATCACTGCCGTCCTAGCTCCCCCCTCGCCTCGACTAGTTACCTAGCTAAACACAGAGCTTTTCTTCTGGTCTAGGCACCAGCCCTGCCGCTGTCCAGTGCCCTGCTGGTGGCCACTGTTCTTGAACCTGTTTCTGCAAGAGGGACCTCACATGGCAAACAGATCAGCCCTGTTTGGCGCTACAAAAGCCACACGTTAATGGGAACCTCTCCCCATTAGGCAGCCCCTGCTGTAACCCGGTGTCAGGGTTTTGCTGTGGCAGTTGTTCGCAGCAAAGGAATTAGTCTCATTGAAAATATTGGGTATTAAATGTGCACTAAGAACTTGGTCCTTTGAAGTGCTGAGCAACTCCAGGCTACGCCAAGGGCCTTCAGCTGGCCTGGAAAAGATGGGCATGCTCAGCCTCTCCAGGAGCCAATCAGTGCTTGCCACTCCTCAAGCAGATGGGCTGAGAAACAGACACTCAACTGGCCAATGAGCATTCTGAGTAGTAACACTGCTGCACGAACCCGACCCAAACGCCTTCATCTCCGAATTGGAACTCGTGGGTCACCTCCGCTGGAGCAGAATTATCCCCTGCGGTCGCTAGTTAGAAAACATGCTTTCTGTGGGAAACGTTGACTTTTGGGC